GTGAGACGGGAGCAAGCCCCCACTCAGACCGGCGTTAACAGGCTGCCATGAGGAAAGGAGATGATGACCTGCTCCCAGGTGCCCTGAGGTCGGGCTCCTTGTCTGCCTTTTGCTTTCTGTTCTTCTCTGTCTTGGCCTCTCCAATACTTACCTTCTACGACCCTGGCGCCCTCTTCCCCTTCCATCTTCTCTCACCTCCCTCCCACTCTCTTCACCCCGCTCTGACCTGCGCCCTTTGAGAGACGCAGTCTTCTGCCAGACAGTGCTGCCCTGCGGACCCTGCGCCCGTCACTAACCTGCAAACAGCATATGGACTTTGAGTCACTGTTGAATTGCAAAGAGTCCTGTACTCTTCAGAGATGGTAGGTCAGGGTTGGAATGACATGTATATGGATGGCATAATCCCACAGTGTTGTGAGTCAAGAAATATTTATGAAAGTTAAATGCCGGTGCTGCAGTCGGAAGCACACAGTGCTTGTTTGTATTTAGCATGCTCTCCACTGAACATCGTTGTAGGTGTGAGTGGGCATTGTTTTAAATAAAGCAAATCCAGGACTGCAGGTAGGTCCTGCTCCTGTGACTGTTGTTCCCCCTGTCCCTGTGTAGGGCCTCCGAGCCTGAGCTGGTCTACTCTCTCTTAAGATTTGGAAGCACTGCTTTTTATTTATTTAATCTTTCTTAAGTGCTTATATTTTAGGATGTCCTTCTGTCTCTGTGTGCTACTTCTTTCAGAAAGGACCCGACCTCCTTTAGAAAGACAACGAGGCCATCTCCTCTGCTTTTATGTTTGGGGCTGTTCACCGCGTCCTTACTTCTTAACGGAGTCCCGGCTCCTAATGGGGGAGTGTCATTTAGGAATGAACAAGGGCAATGCCATTTTGTCAGTACCTGTGCTGTCCTTTGTTACTTTGCAACCCTTCTCTGTCTAGCTTCTTAGCTATGTGGATAATAATATTTATAACTGTCATATTTCTGACTTAGTGTGGAATGTGTCATTCTAATTTCTATAAACATATTCAATGGCTATTTGATCAGCACTTTCCTAATGCTCTATTCCCATTTTGGATAGTGTCGGATCAATGGGAATCTACCGGCTACTAGGAAAGAACTGTAAAGATGCTCCTGTTTTGGATACTTCAGAAAAAGTATGGTTTTTTGACCAGTGTGCATGTTAGCCTCTTGTCCATTCAGAAAATAGCACGTGTTAAATTTTACTTTCAGTTCTAATACACTGAATAATTTAGGGAGTGATTTGAATATAAATTCCAGTGAAGCAGAATTTCTTTATGACTTAAACAAAAAGCAGGAGTAAGTATAAGGTAAGTCATCTTCTCCCCCTTTACATGGGCAAACAGTGGACCCGTGGTATGTAGTGGGTTACTTGTCGGGCTGCTGCAGTTCCAGCAGTTCAGCGTCATCAGCCGCTCGGTGGGAGAAAAACGAGGCTTTCTGTTCCTTTGGGGGTTTGGGTTTTGAGGCCTTCGTTCCTGCAGGCTCTGAGTCAGAATGGACTGGCTGGCAAAGTGGATGGAAATATTAAGTGTCTCACATAGCATGACACGTATTTTCCAATTTGTCTCTTCATGAAATGGCAACCACCTCGGACTCTCCATGGCTTCCCTCGTCAATATTCTTAATTCCTCCTCCAAAGATGCCCAGATCCACAAACTGTCATCACACTGTGCCCTGGGTCCATGGGTTGGAATGACCTCAGGACAGTCTGTGGCATGACATTATTTTCCCTCAAAATACTCGGTTTTCTCCTGCCTCACTCCTCACCCCCACCCCACCCCCTATGCCCCACTGTCCTCTCCACTCCCAAACTAAACAGTTTGGGGGTATTGTTGCTTTGATCTCTTCCACTGCACTTGCCTTTATGAACCCCTCTGGTTATGTCATCTTGCCCCCTCCCTCCCATCCTGAACCTCTCTTCCCTACCCTTACACTGTAACCAAAGCCAGCTCTGGGTGCTTCATGCTTGAAGGAGAAGAACCAGAAGGTATTGGACCCACTTACATGTGGCTGGGGGAGGTAGGCACTGTCCAAATCATGCTTTGTTTCCATGTTCCTAGTAAAAAGAGTCTTTAGAATGGGAAGGTACAAATAAATATCGATAATAGGAATTCAAAGCCAAACAAGGCCGGGCCGTGGCTGAGTGACCTGATCTGAGTAAGTGTGTCCAGGAAGAACGAATTTTTCTTCGTGCATTGGCAGGTGAGATCCTCTAGATCCATGGTTCTCAACCTGTGGTTCGTGACCCCTTTGGGGGTCAAATGACCCTTTCACAGGGGTCGCCCAATTCATAACAGTAGCAAAATGACAGTGATGAAGTAGCAGTGAAAGTAATTTTATGGTTGGGGGGGGTGACCACAACATGAGGAACTGTATGAAAGGGTCATGGCATTAGGAAGGTTGAGAACCACCGCTCTAGATGATTGTCAGTAATCTTTGAAAAATTGGGACCCAAAGAAGTGTTTGAAGGATGGAGATGCAAAACATTTGGTTCTACTTTTCAAAAGGGAAGAATTAGATCATGTAAATTACAGACCAATAAACATGATGTCTGCCTGAGGCAAGAACTGATAAATTGATTATTGCAAGAATGGGTTTTGAGCATGTAGGAAGCAAAGAAGGTAATCATTAATTAAGGCTTCATTAAAAATGCCACATCTGGTTAATCTCGTTTTTTTGTTAAGATTGTTCACTTGGTAGGTCAGAAGAATGCTTTCAGCCTTATGTCTGAGTAAAAACAAAGCATTTGAGCACAATAATGCAGCTCAAATGTCCTCCAAGAGGGAGTCTAATAGAAGAATACTCAGTGTGGCTAGACTTCTTATTTCTTTACAAGTGATATGTTTGCAGTTTTTGTTTTTGTTTTTTATAACAATGGTTAATTTTTTTTTAGAATGGTTAAGCAAAAATAAAAGTTCTAAACAATCTAAGCCCACCCTTTTTTTGGGGTGGTGGTGGTGGTAATGTGTATTAACCACTACTGTTAATACTCTCATGTTCCCTGTTCCGTTTTCTAGACATATGTGGCCTTATGCCTACATTTGTTCCATGATAAATGATGTTACACATGTTGTTTATAACTAACTGTCTCACTGATGATGTCACATGTATCAGCATGGCACTAGTATGTCAACATGACTCCTATCGCTTTACAGCCACCGTTTACTCACCATGTTTCTGTTCCACGGTTGTTACAGACTCTCACAAGTCCTCGTTATTGAGCATACACTTATCCATCATTAACATTCTCTAAAGCAAGGCGTTTTTTATGGCTGGAATTGTATACATGCCTGGCTTACTATTTCAGGATAAATTCTCAGCAGTTGCTGGGTCATAAAATTCTATTGTGGTGGTTTTTTTAAGTTACTGTTGACTCCATTCCAGCCCTTGGCAACCCCATGTGTTAGAAGCTGTGAACTGCTCCATGGGATTTTCTCTGCTGTGCTCCGTATGGAAGTAGATCACCAGGCCTTTCTTCTGCGGCACCACTGGATGGGTTTGAACCACAGGCTTTGATAGTTCAGGGCAAACCATTTATGCTGCGAAGGACCTTAACATTGCCTACATTTTGTCAAATTGCTCAACAGAAAGTTACACTACTGTGGACTCCTAATAAGTGGCCTATGAGCTCCTATATTAGCTGTTTCTCTAAACTTACATACTGAGATAGAGCCATCTGGGGAGTGTTTTAATTTGCATTTCTCTAATATAAGCTCTTGATATATTTCCCGACACTTTTCTTTAAGTTTCCTGTTTGCATTTTCATTTAATTTTCTATGATATCTATGATTACCTTATTGATTTTTACATGTTTTTCCCAGCCATCAAGTCGATTCTATTTATGGTAAAGAAAGCTAGGTGTATCATTTTTGGTCCTAACAAATTCAGCATTTGTTTGCAATCATTTGGATGAAATCATGGATAGCATAGCATTTAGATTTATGTGTGATACTACATTGGGAGGGATAATGAATGTTATATTCCAAAGAGTAATGATAGCCACTATTTATTAAACCTCTGCGATATGCCAGAAAATATACTAGGCTTATTCATCCATTAACTAATCCTCACACCACATCTGCAGAAGAGATATTCTTATCACTTAAAATGAGACTCAGAGAGGCTACATACCTTGTCCAAGTTCACACAGTTTATGGGTGGCAGGGTCAGGATTCGAACACAGGCGGTTTGATCCTGAAGACCATGTTGAATCTCCCCTGCCGTGGAGGAATGTATATTGACAACGTTGATGAAACATATATATGAAAGGCTTGTCTTTTTGAAGTGGTTATAGAAGATAAGTTGTAATTACTCTAGTTGGTTTCATTACATTGTTAACACTGACGATGTGCTAGAACCACAACAGCAGGGCCTCCTAAATAATGAAGTATGTGATTCTTGCTAAAAGAAGAAGACAGTTCATAAGTCTGCTTTTAGGAAGGCAAGCCAGGTGTCTGTGATTTGGGCTATAGATCTAAAGATAACTAGGACTGCTTGAAGCTGAGAGTGAACTTTTTATTATGATTTCAAGCCGTATTAGCAGAGAGAGATTAAAGTAAAAGTAATGTTCTATACCAGTAAGATACTGAATTACTGACCTGCATTGTTATTTTAAGAATAGAAATGAGAGGAAGGTTGGGTGGGGGGGTGGGGTGGGGAATAGAAATGAGACTATCAGGTTTGCATTTTTGAAGAAGCATATAACAATAAGGTTTGGGGTTTTTTAACAATAATGTTTTACAAAGATAAAAAAGCATACGTACACAATTTTATGAACCTTTGCCATTAAAAAATCCACCTACACATTACCTAATAACATGTAGATTGGGGATATATTGTAGTATCAATTTTTTAAAATGCCGTTTTCTCTTCAGCCACTAAAATTCTTTGGGGTATGTTGTGTATTAGTGTACATATGAGAAGTATGCAGTTATTAATAGTATATTCTATTGTAGATGATTGACTGACACATTTCTTTTTCCCTCTAGGTAAAGAGGATGAATATCCCAAGAGACCTTTGGGGCAACTTCCACCTGAAACTCGGTTTGCTGTTGTTAATCACCTGAGCAATGGACAAAGAAGTGTTAACAAGTCAAGTCCTCCGACAGTCAGCAGAAGAGAAAGTGCCACATCTCCTCACAAAAGACCTGAGCATTCGCCTCACCATCAAAGCAGCAACGGTACGCCAGAAAGAGTAAGGCAGCCAAGGCAGAAATCCACGGATGAGGATAGTAAAAAGCTTAAGGAGGAGGTTGCTTTGCAAGGGAAACCTCCAGCCGTTCCCCAGGACAATTCCAAGCATAGTAACGCAACTGCTAACCAAAACAGCAACGCCACCTCAAATATCAGAAAGGAGTTTGTGCCTAGATGGAATAAACCCTCAGATAGCTCGGCTGTTGAAAAAACCGCCAAATATGCCTTTGAAGGTAAAGGTAGGTCAGCAAACCCCACCCTTACAATGACCATCCCAAATTCTGCTGAGAATCGACTCTCAAATGCACGGCAGAAGCTGCAGGTGCTGGATGCTGACGAAGGGAAGCGTGGTTCCAATGCGTCCCAGTATGACAATGTTCCCGGAGCGGAGCACGAAAACGGGACTTCTGTGGAAGAGGCACTGGAAAGGGCGAACTCTCAGAATCCGAGGAGTCTTCTTTATTCCAACAGCAGTCCAAGAAAGCACACGGAGCCACATTCTAGCCCGTCAAGAGTACCAAACCATTTTACTTTTAAAGTACAGCCTCCAGGTTACCTAAGACACCTGTCCCCATTAGATGGAGAAGATCCTGGAACAGTGCACCCACCATCCTACAGTAATCCCCCTGTTTACCATGGAAATTCTCCAAAACACATCCCCATTGCTAACCGTGGCACCGAGGCACCACCGGCCAGCTATGGGATGCAAGCGAATCCATCCCGGAGGCCCTATGGCTCTACCCCCTTAGTAGATTCTTCTCCGGAGAAACCTCACAGCCGCCCTGCTCCCTTTGTACTGCCATCTAATCGAATAGAAGTTCTTCCTGTTGATATTGGTGCTGGGGGGTTCTCAGGGTCACCAAAGAATGGCAAATTCATCATTCCTCCAGTGGATTATTTGCCAGAGAATAGGAAATGGTCAGAAGTTAGTTACACCTGCAGGTCTGAGATGCGTGAGCAACCGTGGGCTCGAGATGGAAAGCGCAGCCACTTTACCAATTTACCAAAATACGCCGCCTTTCCACGTGTAACCTTTCAGGACCATGGCCTCCCGCCAGTTTCAGTGGACAGTCCAGTGCGGTATAGAACTTCGCCAGCGGTGGACGATGCCGGCTCATCACGGTATCAGTATTCAGGGCCCTCACCTCCGGCCTACCACTACAGGAATCGGGATGGACTCGCTATTCAAGAATCAGTATTGCTGTGAGAATGTATCTCTAGTAGCTAAAGATACTAGACTAGACACCATACGGAACCTACATTGCTATGTTTATAATTGCCAAAGCAGTATTTTATACAGTTGAAAACAACTCCCACAATTCTAATGTTCTGTTAGTAATAAGAGTATATGGAAATACTGTCATCTCTTGTACACGCTGCTTAAGGTGAGCGTTTTGAATGTCATCATCGCTGACCCTGTTGAATTGAAACATAGCAATAGCATTTAGGGGTGCACGCACAGTAATGCTTCATTGCCCAGTGTCATTGATGGCTTTCTCCCAAACCTGACCATTTTGACTCTCTTGGCCTACTCTGAGTACAAAACACTGAAAACCGGTCTGTGTAGAACAGATATTTCACAGATAGTGTATGTGTCTTTTCATAGATATTGTAAGCATCTATGCACACACATTGGAACAGAGAACTAAGGAAATGTTCAAGAGACAACTCCTTTTCCTCTAGCTCCATAGAATAATCTGCCTAGCTGGTGTTTGAGTCACCTTAGATGCCGCCACCCCACGTAGCCCCCGCCTCCCAATATTTTTAACCCAGGCCCTAACAGCTGACTAGAGAGATGCCCCTGGCTTTATTAATTCCACCTCTCACAGAATGCACGTCATTCTCCTTCAAGTGCTGCCATCTTTCAGTCTGAAAATTAAAGGCATTGGGAGGAAAGGCTAACCCCTTTAATGGTGCTAAAAATTCGGGGCAGTTACAGTCAGGTCACGGCCAAAGGTGTGCTCTCGTTGGGTCCACTGAATGTTTTCTTGCCCTTTGTTCTGACCTGCCTCTTCCTGGCCGAATGCAGAGAAAATGCTGCCTGCCATACGGCACTCTGGGCAGAAGCCAGCAGGAGAAGCTGCAAGTTACCGATCATCACGCATGCACACGGGGCAGCAGAATTCACTCCTTTGAACTTCATTTGAAAGCAGGATTAACAATCTGGTTTCTTCTTACTTAGCCATGCAGGGCCTCACCACAGAGGCCCCAGGCATCACTCACACCATTTTCTTCTGGCACTCTTTAAAGCGTGTAAGGCAGTGGACGTTTCGGCACTGACTGGACCGTTAAATTGCCGTGGTGCAGCATGGTAAAACACCACCCTACCTGATTTTTAAGAAGAAACCAAGATACCAGATTTTAAAGGGGAAAAGATAGTGTCTTTCATACTTTCTGGAAACCTTTTTTTCTTTTTCTTCATTTAAGAAAAGAAAAGGGCAGGTTCCTGGTATAACATTTTGAATGTCTTTTTAAAACATCCCATCACACTACAGTCACCCGAATACTCACAGGCCTCAGGGCACCTCCAGAAAGTGTGGCCATGCAGTCCCTGGGGGCCTCTGTCCAGCCTCTCGCACGGTAGAGCAGGAGGCCGACCACTGATGGCGCTTGTTGCAAGTGGGAGCTTTAAACTTTCAAGGTACAAAAGTTTGTCTCTTAAAATGGGAGTAGCATTTGTTTAGCTAGTGAATGTGACAATATTTTTTATGTATATAATGAGTCTAATGTAATTTTAATCAACTTGGTAATGATGTGATTAAATGGCAAAAACAAAAGCAGTGCATTTGCAGCCGAGTACTACGCTGAAGCTCAAACGCCGCATCCTTCATGGCACTGGGGTCTTGAGTTAGACTGTGGGAAAGCATAGAAATAAATGTATCTGCAATGGTAGCTGAGGATAGTACTCCCAATTCTTTTAAGCCTTGCTTCTGTGATTTGTAGGAAACCAAGCTGAACAATGTAGTTGATGATAGCAGCCTCTGAGCTGCTCCAGTGTATGTATGTATATATATATATATATATATACACACACACACACACTCTCATACATATCTATATGTATACATATATCAATAGTCCTAAATACTGTAGATTTATATAGAGATATATACACACACATGCACACTATTTTCTTATGTCATCTGTGACATTTTTTATCTGTATACCTTTTTGATGTAATTGTTTTTAACATGCTAAAAGTAATAACTATATTTCTTTTTTGTGTCCTTTCTGTGTTTTTTTGTTTGTTTGTTTATGTTTTTCTTGTGACAAGACCACTGCATCTCTTTTAACTGAGCAGCTCTTGCCCAGTGTTCATCATTATTTCATAGTACATCAGATGCTATGTTACGCGCTTGACTGATTTCCGGTAACACTGTATTTCAAATGGCCTCCCATGCCATTATTGATAGCAATACCGTCATGTTGTAGCTTTCTCCATTATACAATGTACTTCTCTATTTTTTTAAGTCGGAAATTTAAACTTGAAATTATTTTGCCACTCCACTGCACAATTTTACTCTTTCAGATATATCTTTTAATAATTAGTAGATTTAAGAATATTAGTAAAGTGAGTCAGTACACTTATGACACATTTGGAAGGGTTTTTTATGCTAGGAAGACTGATTTTGTGCTTGCAGTGTCATGTTGTAAATAGTTTGCCATTATCAATTATTCTCTTCATGGACGTTTGACTTAACAAGCACTTTGTGGAGTTCTTATTTATTTCCTTAAATTCCGCTTGATAGTTAGGCTCAGGGTCCTGAAGGGTATTTAAAAGTTGACTCTTTCAGGTGCTTAGTATTTTTTACAGGATTTTATCTCTTTTAACAAGCAGCTTTTAAAATTGGTGAATAGATATAAAATCAGATATCAGAGTATACATGGTAGAATATTTCCTGAAAGAATGAAGAGAGAAAGAGACTCACCGAATAGGGCATTTCTGTAGAAGACTAGCTATTTATAGGATGTGTTTAAATTTTCTTTTTATGATTTAACTGCTTAATGCTAAATTTTATGTGATACTCAGTATAACTGTAAAATTGACTTTCAAAGTGTAATCATTCCAGATTTCTCTCAGGGGTCCAGTAACAATGCAAACACAAAAACAGTGTCTAGTCAATACTTGTCTGAGAGCTTGAGTTTTGTGGTTAGAGAAAAACTTAAATATGCAAATATGGATTTAGTTACAGAGGACCTGTAACTTGGTCATCTGGAAATATTATCCTTAATTATGTTTTGAGAGTAATCACATTTTCATCTTAGTTTATATTTGATTATATTTCTAAAAATGATTATACTTGGGAGTAGGTTGATAAAGCCTTTATCTAACATGAGTAATAATGCTTCTTGATTTAGGAGGCTCTGTGTAAGGCAGACTTTGCATTTAAGATGAACCGAAGTAGGAGAATAGGAGAAGGGAATCCATTTCACATTTATTTATGAATTTTCATTTCAAAAGTATTTTTTCAGTTTTCTTTAAGTATGAACATAACTGCCACCATTTTATATATGAGAAAGCTGAGAATCAGCTTAGGAATTGACTTAGATTGCCTAAGACGGGATCTCCATCCTTGGTGGTCATTAGGATTACATGGATGAGAATTTGAAAGTATAAAAATTTGGCTAGGGTCTCATGCAGACCACTTGAATTAGGATCTCTGGCATAGAACATAGATATCAGAGAATTCTATTATTTTCTCCCTTAAAGTTATAGTTCAATTAGGCTCTGCAAAAAAAGGTAGGGAGGGGAGGGGTGGTGGCAGTGGATTAACTCTCTTCCTCTCACTCTGGGCTGTCTCCATAATTCCTAGCAGATCCGAATTTAGGATCCCCGAAGATCAGGGAAAGCTCTACCTGAAATAGGAACACTACTCGCCATTTCTGTAAGTGTTGCTGAACTGTTCGCCAATAGCATGGGCAGTGCAGATTGCTTCAAATGGAGCTGGCAGGACCTGGTCCTTGACCTCATCTGCTGTTGACAGTAGCCCGTTAATTGGCAGAGCCATATTAAGAGTTCCACTGTTCCTAGACAACCTCTGTCTGTTATTTACCGCTGAGAGTAACATGCCTTTTAAAAGGTGTAAGTTGTTTGGAAGTCTAAGGGAGTTCTCAGTATGTGAGGTGCTGAGAAAATGTTGAGTAGTCTGGCCATTGACTTCAGTCAGCATTTTTTTTTTGGCATCTACAATGTGCTAGGTGTACAAAGGACTGCACTGGAGTCCCACTTCAAAGTGGGACATTTGTATCTTGGGCACATGGTGAGCCCATCACTCGAGGTCTGGGAAGACTTCAGGGGAATTGATGCCTCAGCTGGGCCTGAAAAGCCATTTATGCCCAAATCCCAGGCAGTAGACAGTGCACAAAGAGGAAGGGAGGGGTATTTCTACAGCAGAATGGCACGATGTGGGTAGAGGGGTGAGAGACTGGCAAGGAGGCCAGATCAGGGAGTGCTTTGTCCGTCCTGGAGTTTGATCCTGCAGGTATATATAGCAAATGCTTGGCCTTTCAGAGCTGTGGAAGCTGAATGTGAGGGCTCAAACCAGGAGGTCGGTAGAGAAGGCGTTCTTTACTAAAGGTAATGTCGAGCAGAACTCGGCCAAGGAAGACGTTTGGAAGAAGTGGACCAAGTACAATGGCAAGACTTGATCACTGGTTGTATGTCCTCATAAGAAGAAGAAAAATGGTGCTCCGCACTATGTGTCTGATACTTAATCTATGTGCCAGGCATTTAACCATGTTAATCATTTCCTTCTCACATTAACTCTCCCAAATGCATATTATAATCCCCGGTTGACAGATAAGAACAGGAGGGCACAGAGAGTTCATGTAACTTGTCCCAAGTGCCACAGCCAGTCAGTCAGTAAAATAGGAGTTGAATGCAGGCAGTCTAAAATCTAGAGCCTCAGCATTGTTATGCCCCTTCCCCCAAACACCTTTATGGATGGATAATTGACCTGCTACAAAATTCATCTGTTTGAAGTGTTCGATGGCTTTTTTCAGAAAAGTTTCGAGTTCTCCAAGAAGCACAACTCCCACACTGTTAGAGTACACCATCCCCTCAGAAAGCTCTGATACCATCATGCCGGTTTCTGCCCCCAGCCTGAGGCAACCACTGAATGGCTCTGTAGATGCTCCTGTTCTGGGCATTTCATCGAAATGGAACCACACAGAATGTGATCTTTCAGATCTGATGACTTACTGAGCGTAATGTTTTCAGGTTCATCCATGTTCTAGCATGAATCAGGCATTTCTCTTGCTGAAGAGTATTCCATTGTATGGTTCTCTCACATTTTGATCAATGGAAAATGTGTGGGGTGTTTCCACTCTTTACTATAAATAATGCTGCTATGAACGTTTGCATACAACTTTTTGTGTAGACACCTATTTCCATTTCCCTCAAACATATACCTAAGAGGGATATTGTATGATTGATTTATATTTAACTTTCTGACAGACTTTTCTGAACTGACAGCACCACTTGATATTTCCACCAGCAGTTTAAGAGGGCTCCAGTATCTTGACCTCCTAGCCAACGATTGTCAGCCTTTTACAAATGAGAGCCATTGTTGTGCGTGTGAAGTGCTATCTCCTTGTAGTATGCGCCATTTGTGTATCTTGGATGAAATAATCTAGTCAAGTCTTTGGCTTATTTAAAAAAACTTTTGGGGGCCACTGGTTAGTAAGAGTTCTTCATGCATTCTGAATACAAGTCCTTTATGACATATGTAATTTGTAAATGTTTTCTTGCAGCGTGTGGCTTTTTATTCCCCTTTCATTTAATCTTTTGATTTACAGAAGTTTAAAAAAATTTTATTTTAATGAAGTCCATTTTATCAGGGTTTTTGCTTTTATAGATTGTGCTTTTAGTATTGTATCTCTTTGCTCACGAAGATTAAAGAGACTATTATACCTTAGTCTAGTAGTTTATAGCTGTCACTCTTAAATTAGGTCTATAAACCATTTTGAATGTCTTTATATATGATGTGACATTAGTTCCTAAACTCATGTGGCTTTCCAGTTGAACCCAGAACCTATATTGAAAAGACTGCCCTTTTTTACAATGAATCACCTTGATACTTCTGTCAAAATACAGTTGACTCTGTGTGTGTGCTGCATGCGCGTGCACAAATTTCAGTTCTCCTTTGACCTACATTAGTCTTCATGCCAGTACCACACAATCTTGATTGTCATCACTTTCTGGTAAGTTGTAAAGTCAGTAAGTATAAGTTAATTAGTTTTGTTCTTTTAAAAATTGTTTTGGATTTTGGGGGGCTTTTGCCTTTGTATATAACGTTTTGTCTTTATTGTGTACTTTTGTTGTGAATTGAGCGAAGGCATACAGAGCAGACCAGCTTTCCATTGAACAAGTCAGACATGTTTTATGTTGTGTCATTGATTGCCATCCTCACAATGCAACGTCACGTATCCCACTTCCTAGGTTTCCTCTCGTCACAGCTCCTCCCTTCTTGGCACTTCTGAGCTTGTCCGTGGGGAAGTACTCTCCTTTTGTTCTCAAGTGGTTGACTGTTCCAAGCTGTGCATACTGAAAATTAAGCTTTGGAAGGGAGTTTATTTCCAGATATATGAAGGCTAGGGGATTCACCCTCAAATTTTATCTGCCCAATAAGTTGGGCAGATTTGTTTTGTTTTTAATAAAGTGAAGGTTAGCATAGCAGGCCATAGTTTAGCTCTCAGAAATTCATACACTTTTTTCCAACTCATCCACCGTATTCCCTCAATGTTTTCCCACTTATCTTACTTCTTCCCTGTGTTTCCAGTTTCCATTCTTCGTTCCTAGCCCTCTGAATTTTGTTGTTGGTAAATGCCGCCCTTTTGATCTTAAGAAATTGGTTATACTAACATTTGGTCATTATTATGATTTTGAGGGTTTCACCACCCCCACCCCCCGCATTTTCCTCCTCCTCTGAGACCTAATGTAGACCCCTTCAGAGCAGTAAGCAGTGGAGCTGCATTTCATGCGGTCCATTAGTCCATCAGACTCGTTATTTCCATGTGTCTTCTATCTCATGTACTCATCTTTCTTCCAGACATAGTGGCCAGCTTTTAAGACTCCGGTTGCACATCAAAGTAGTATGTAGAACCTTGTCTTTGTGCACCATGTTATGTCCCCCGGAACCATAATCCTGAACCCTAGGCCTGGCCATTCATTCCCTCAGGTGTATGTTTATGTCTAAGAAATATTCATAACTTTGCCTCCTGTGTGTTCCAACACATTCGTGGATATATTTGCATTTATAGATAGATTTTAAATCATCCTGTCAATTTCCATTTTAAAAGCTTCCTGGAATTTTGATAGGGATTATGTTGAATTTATAGACCAATTTAGGACGAACGAACATTTAAGCAATGTTGAGTCATCCACTCCATGAACATAAACTCCCTCCATTCACTTGGATCTTCTTGAATGTTTCAGCAAGGTTTGTCACTTCTGTATATGTCGTGCACTTTTCTTGGAGTTGTTCCTAAGTATTTCATTCTTCATGAGCTTCAGAGCCTGTGCACAACATCACGCTGCCCTATTTAGAGGAGGAGGAGGATCCAGATGAAAGGGTGGAGAGAGGAAATACTTGTTGATAAAAATAATGCAGGAGAAGAAACAAGTGTAGGCTTAGTGAGAAAATGACTTGTTTGGCATGTTGAATTTGAAGAGCTTAGGGAGTTGACAGCTGGTGTTGTCTGACAGGACGTTGACTGTCTCAGAGACAGACTTTGGATGCAATAGCACAGCACTGGTTAAAACCGTGACAGTAGCTGAGTTATACTAGAGTCACACCACCGGAAGAAGATGCCACGCTCGGGACGGGAGAGGTGGAGGGACACCGGCATTTAAGCAGTGCCATGGGGAACAATCCTTGATTCCACAGAAACTGCACTTGGATGCCTGATGGTTGAAGATGAAGAGAGTGGTTCTCCACCATTCCTGCAAGTGAGAATCAGTCAGGTGGGGAGCTTCCCAAGTTGTGATACCCAGACCTATCCCAGGCAAATTAGGGCAGTCTTTCAGGGTGGGCCCCATGAATTAGTGTATTTTGTAAAGCTAATAAGCACTAATATAACCCAACATTCTATAGCTTAGGTCTCATAACTTAAATCATTCCATGGTAATATAATTACGTGTGGATGTACTTTGAGAAACCAGAGCCCTCAGATTTAACCCTGTGATGAGAAACCATGGATGATTGTGTCTGTTAACAGTGAAAGTGTTTCGACCTATACAGAGCAAAAGGCGACAGCTTTCTTTTCGCCCTCATGTCTCCATTCCTCCAACTCCTTATGTCTGTTGGCCGTTGCTATCAGCAAGCTGCTGTAAAACCGTATTAGCAAATCACGTAAGAACCCAAATTTGTTCTACTGCCCTCATTTCAGGAAAAAAGAGTACTACACAGCATCCCCTGGCCATTAAAAACTTTGTACTATAGCCCATCATCCAGGATAAAATGTAGGGATCTGCTTTTGCACCTCCCCACCCCACCCCTGGCCGTTCCATTACCTCCCCAACCCCCAACCCCGGCCATATCACCCACTTTGAGAAACACTTGAAGATTTAAAATGGCATGGTAGGAAAAACACAGGCGAGTGTGAGTCTCAGCTATTCCATTAGACTTGCAGGACCATAGTCTCTCGTGTAAAATAGGTTGAAGGAGGTCTTCCCTGAGAGGATGCTTTAGGACCTAACTGATAATGGTTCCTGGAACACAGATGTTCAAGAAATGTGAAACGATCCATATCAATGGATCTAGGGCTATATTGGGCTAATAGCCATATTTAAGGGGATCTACCCAGCATCCCCCCCCCCAACTTCTTTCGGATTTGTAAAATCCTTTGGAAGAATGCCTAAAAATATTAAAACATGTAGATTAAAATGTACAGGTTATTAAGCATGTTCTACACCCTCATGAATTAGATAAATTGAAATGGGAACAATTGATGAAGATGCTTGACAAGAATGCTATTGATGCCCTGTTAACAACAGGAAAATTGCATTCCAAAACATACCTGTCCCACAGTCCATTTAAATTGGTGTTTTGATCCATACTACTACAATGATTCTGTCTTATAGGAATTTAAGTGCAAAACCCCAATTCCCTGCCACCAAGTCGATGCCGACTCAGTGACCCTACAGGACAGAGTAGAACAGCCATTGTGGGTTTCTGAGACTAACACATGGGAGTAGAAAGCCCTTCTTTCTCCCAAGGAGTGGCTGGTGGTTTTGAACTGCTAACTCTGCCGTTAGCAAGCGAATACATAACCACTACCTACGCCACCAGGGCTCTAAATGTGAAAAGATGTCCATTGCTACATTGTTTTAATAAGCACTCAAAATAGCTTATATGGGTTAAATAACCGTACAAAAGGGTGCCTTTTTCACCCTTTTAGAAATATGCAGGCAACTTTACATATACTGCTAAGGGAAAATGTCTGATTGATTGCTAAATGAAAAAAAGTACAAAAGCCTTCCTGTCACCCTTAGCAGGCCTTGGACTGCTGGCTTCACCCCAGGCCAGCCTCGAACCAGGCTCCGAATTGTGTTGAGTGTCGGGCGGCTTGAGCTGGAAGTGGCTTGAGAACCATGGACTATCAAGGAGAGTCATGAGAAGTTCTTTTTTGCACAAAGATGCTGTGAAGATTTTAGAAGTGAAGTCAGGGTGAGGAAGAGAAAAGGCCCTTAAGGGGGCAGGGGTCCCCCAGGTAGATGAGAATAGAGGACAGCATACAAATACAAAGTACACGTGGCGCATTAGCATCCTGTTCTCCCCGCGTGACTAGGCTTTAACCATGAATGAGCGCTGCTGGTGTTTTGATGGAATTCAGTGAGTCCTTGCTGGAGGGGCTCTGGAATGGCTATTTCTTTTCCCCTGAAAAGTCTTCCTTCTCTCGCTGCTCTTTCCGTCATAAGAAGATGGAGGGGTGGGAGTAGGGGGGAAGGGGGGAGTGAAGAAGGGTCAGCAACCAAGGAGCCCAGCAGGCGTAGGGACACTTGAGTGGGAGCTACACCCTGACCCAAGGGCTGTACTATTCACTATACTATTACTTTGAGGGCTAAGGTGCACTAGACCTAAGCCATGGTATTTTCAGCCACCTCATTGGCATATGAAAGTTGGACATGGAATAAGGAAGAATGAAGAAATGCATTCAAATGCATTTGAATTATGTTGCTGGTGAAGAATATTGAAAGTACCATGAGTTGCCATAAGAACAAATATGGGGGACAGCCTCCACAACCGAATGGGTCCAAGGGGCGGTTGTGTAATTGATGGGTAAATTAAGGAAACATCAGACAAGGCAGGCAAGGGCTCACCTTTTTCATGGAGACGAACCAGAGAGTGAGGCGAATGTATTCGCTCACAAGCTTATCTAATTTGGGGCATGCAAGCCACATCATACACATATGTAACAGGAAGGGGTTGTATTAGAGCAGCGGTTCTCAACCTGTGGGTTGCGACCCCTTTGGGAGTTGAATGACCCTTTCATAAGGGTCACCTAAGACCATTGGAAAACAAATATTTCACAATATATAATTACATGTTTTGTGATTAATCACTATAATTATGTTTAATTTGTAACAATGAAAATGCATCCTGCATATCTGATATTTACATTACGATTCATAACAGCAGCAAAATTATGTTATGAAGTAGCAACAAAATGGTTGGGGGTCACCACAACATGGGGAACTATTAAAGGGTCGCGGCATTAGGAAGGTTGAGAACCACTGTATTAGAGGCATACATGTAACAGGAAGGGGACTAACTAGGGGTATACACGCAAAGAAAGGTAACAAGATGGACAGGTGCTAGAGTTAAGATGACAGCCTAACCTTGACCATCCCTTAGCTGACTTGACCTTAGATGCCCCTGGGCTCTTCTCCAGGGGAACACTCTATGATCCTTATCAGAGGGCAGTGGGCCACACTTAATGTTACATGGTCTGCTTGCTTCTGATGGTAGATAACTTTCAAGAGTATTGTAAGCGACCATGTGCTTGTGAGCAACACCTTCAAATAGGCATTATTATGGGGGAGCAACTTTAGTTAGGAGAATGACTGGGATTCATCTCCAACCCAGGAAT